GATTTGCGCAGACGTGGAGTTTCACCATGCCGTCGGTTCGTTCGGTAAAATCGCCAACATGATCAAGGACGAGCTGTCGCTGAATGGCATGATGTCCACAACGTCGGACAGATTCTGGCGAGCCATTTCGGTCGCCGGGAGCGGTCACCCCTACTCTATGAAGTCTGGAACCTCTTTGGTCCACGCTGTCATGGAAAAGTACTTGTTCAGAGAGAAGATGCTCGCTTCTTGCTTTATGGCACCGGATCCCTTGACCGAAGCGAATAGCCTCCATGATCCCAACTTGGAACACGTGTTGCAGGACAAAGAGAGGTTGTATCAGTACTTGTTCGGAGATTCCGTAAGAGGAAGCCATGCATATCAGTCCACTGCGGAACCTTCAGGTGAGAATGAGTCTGAGAGGAGGAAGAGGGAGAAGGTAAGGAGAGAGAACAAGATGCCATGGATGGATGAGTACTGGGGAGTCCTTCAGCCAGAACCAATATACTCGAGGACTCAAAGATGGTACGTCATTGATGACTTCAAGGAGGGTGAGGAAATTTGCTGCGACTACTGTCTGGTCTGCAATCCCATAGACTCCGATTTGAAAGACGATTGCTATGCAGAATGCATCAACGGAGCAGCAAATAGATGCCGTGGGATGTCCGCAGAAGACTACGTCCAGAAGCGATTTCATGCATGTGCTCGATTGCTTCACAACTTCGGCATGGGGCAAACGGTATCTTCTCCCACCGTCATGATCTCCGAGATGAACCCGCACGTAGACTTGATGAAGTTCTTACACGAGGCGATGATCATCTTTAACGAGAATCCAGGTTTCCAGAAGGAGATCTCGTTCTTCGGGGGGATCAGGTTGTCATCAACAATGACGGAGAACTTCTTCAAAACGAGGAGAGGACCCAGCATCCATGTGGAAAAGCAGATAGTCGGCAGCGCCAAGTACTACCAGGGATCCTATGACCTTGGCAACGTGTGCTACACCAAATACCTCAAGACCATACTGGAGCCCGATGTATTCCGCACTATATTCGGAGATGATCCCACGGAGGAACGGGTAGGTGACATGGTGGAAGCGCTGCTGGGCATGTTCGAAATTGCTCAACTCTTCAGGCACATGTTCAAGGGATGGGGTGACATCGAAGCTTTGAGGACGGGATTAGAAGAATCCATCAAACGCGTCACTGCATCGCTGTACGACAGGACAACGTATGAGAACCGAAAGCGATCGACGATAAGGACCTTGGACCCGCACTCTGATGAGGCGGCAAACGTGGCACTGATTCTCGTTCGCATGAGGACCATGCCGCCTCCTGAATTCGACATCGACCACTTCTTCGAAATTGGGAAAGAACCAGAACAGGGAACAGAGGCTACTGACCAGCCCGAGGCCGAAGGTGTCGATATGGAGACTGAATGTGAACAGGAGAAGGAGGAGCAAGACGTTGACATGTCCGACCCGAAGACATCAATACTGCAAGCCATCGACGAATTTGAGGAGAAGATCGGGCAAGCAGAATTCTGCATCCACTGCATGAAGTCGGGACACACAACTCTCAATTGCGAGAAGACCCCTTCATGTTCACCTACAGTCACCTCAGTGTTGAGTGATTGGAAGAAGAGAGTGAAGGGAGAGGTTGCACCCGACGATGTACCATCTGGACATCCAACCGAGGAGCCTAAGAAGAAGAAGCAGAGAGCATCGCCTACTCCAGATAGGAAGGTCGACAGCGAGTTCAGGCGAAAAGAAATGTTGAAAGCAAGAGTCGTACAATGTTCGACCATGACGGATTCACCTTGATCGAAAGTGCTGATGGAGTCGAAGGAGGGACACATTCCTACAATGGGCGGAAGCTTGCGGAAGTAGGCCCTAGGGATACGAGGGTGGTGTACGAATTCGTAGAGAAGGCATTTGTGCACTCCAGTTCCCTCACACCAAAGGCATGTCATCACTTCTATCCCCTACCGACGCGGAGGGAGAAGGGATACAAGCCGATCGACCCCATGACAATGGTCGGGAAAGTTGAACTAGTACCGATCAACGGAGTCACTTTCGCTGCAACGAACTCCGACTACGGCAACCACAAGTATCCGACTCCAGACTGTCGAGTACCTGAATACAGCCAAGCGAGCCAAGCCCTGAGTCGTCGATTGGGAGCGAAGTTGAGACATCGAATTGGACGCCAGTTCAGGACAGGTGGAAGACTCGCACCAATCAAATGCGATGAAGGCGCATGGGTGTCATGGGAAGACCTATTGGGTGATAATGCAGTTTGGGAAGACGGTTATCACTACGGCAACGTAGATACCGTGACCAAGAAGGCGCGTTTGGAGAAGTACTTCGACCAGAACTATGAGTGTTTCCGCATAACCAAGAGGATCAGATTCCAAATGTTGGCGGTCCGCGTTCACCCTGATGAACTCAATGACCCTGATGACCCGATGGAGAAGGAATGGATTGACGAACTCAAGGGCATGGGAATCTCTAAAGGAAGACTCCACCACAGCAATGGATGGTGCTTTCCCGTGGCCGTAAGAGCAACCTCAGCACACTCAACGGACGGCGGAGGTTATGACGTCACCATCAACATCGACCACATTGGATCGAGAATGACCAACGACATGGCCCTATCTATGGTGACTGCATTTCACGCTACCAATCTTGGAGCGCTGACTTCAATCATGCGACGGGGGCTAGTGCCAGGGGGTCTCGGTTCATCGGGAAGGGATTCTATCCACTTCACATGTTTTCCGCCATGGGCCTGGGAGCAGGGCTACAAGGGAAAACCTTGGCTGGGTCGTAAGGTCGCATTGAGTGATCGCCCAGTGGTTCTCTACATTCCGGTGTGGAAGCTGCAGGAGTACGGACTTCTCATCTCAGCGACTGGCTCTCTATTGGTTGAGAACGTCGTTCCCTTCGATGAGGTTAAAGGGGCATGGTTGCAATGCGACAATGCGGAACCCGGACAGCCTGAGGAGATCGAATGGATCAGGTTACTCAATAGGGAACCCGACCCTGGAAGCTACCTTGTTCTGGAGTCCAAATACGGAAACCCGATCATGATCCCACGCTTTCAGAAGCTTGAGAGTTTAGCGGTTGAGGTTCAGGACGATACCTACTCCGAGGACGACGCCAAAATCTCAAAACTGTTGGGTATGATCGAGGAGAGTGGTGTCTACCCAGAATATGATAGCACCGAGTGGCAGGAAATCTTTGAGGAGATCGTGTACCGCCGGGCAATGAAAGACTATGACTCAAGACCGTGTCCTAACTGTCTTGGCGAAGTCGATGTGCGATTGACGATATGTCCGCACTGCGTAGCGGTTTTGATCGCAAATGGGAAGCTCACGCATGTGGTACCCAAGGAGACAAGGGACCGCAATCAACGATCACCTCCGAAAGATGTCCCAGCCAGTTCTTCCGGTGAAGCAACTTCTGCTGCAGGTGCAAACATCGATGAAGTCATCAAGAATGCACGCAAGACAGCCGAAGAGGTCATTGAGGTCGAGGAATCCGAAGGAGAGGAAGAGGAGGAAGTTCCTATCATTTTGAAGGAACGACCGGACGAAGCTGAAGGCGAACCCGAATATCGGGAGGTCCCTCAAGATGGATACGGGAATGAACTTCCACAGCCTTTCCCCTTCGCAATTGACGAATTGCCGCAAGAAGCTGCGATCCCCATCGACCACAACTTTGCAGTCACACAACAATTTGATCTGAGGTTGATGAAGTTGATCAAGAGCTTGGCCAACGCGACGTTCGACATCAACTGCTTTGAGAGTCGCGAAGACGTGCTGCGAAAGTTCGACGATGGACAGCGGCATGATACTCCGTACAATAGATGGCCAATAGTACCGAATGATCCGGATACTGGGTTTCCAAGACGTCTCCAGAGAGCCGAGGTCGTAGGCATGAGCAAATGGACCAACGACGTGTATGCAACAGAAGCGTGGCAGATCTATGAATTCCACGCCCACGTTGTTCACCCGATGATGATCACTGCAATCCGCTGCGGGCTTAGCCACAAGTACCTCAAAGAGGTCGGCAGCACTCGGCGTAACATGAGTGATCCAAAGGCTCGGAGGTCTGAGACCCAGGAAGAGATCATCGAGAAACTGGCATTCATCTCAAATTTCATCAGACGCTTGATCAGGAAGACTTTCGGAGCGAGCCGATATAGTTACTACCAGAAACCAGATGACGAAAGTGCCGCTCCATACAAATTCATCGACATTAGTCCCGCCATCAAATCGGAGCGGAAGAATGTCACGAAGGAGATCCTCGTTGCATGCCGCTACTATGGCATAGAGGTATCCGCTATCCAAGCACAGAAATTGAAGTTCTTCGAGGAGCAGATCCGAGCGGGAAATCCGAGGAACGTTGAGCTCACCAAGGACTACATTGGCTTTGTCGGCGCTGACTACATGCGACAACTCACGAATGGTTGAGCATTGGGGTCATACCGACATGCCACTTCTGGTACTTCAAGTACTGAGGGATCTTGGGTAATTCATGATGACCGTTTTGGCGTCATGGGAGTGAGATAGGATTGTGTTTCACACCGCTGGTAATCGCATGATACCATAGGTAGGTGCACGTTTTCCGTTTGTAGCTCCATTACCTGTTTGATCCAACTTTCAAGCGAATGCAAGATCGTTTGCTAATTCAATTCAATAGGACATACTGGTTGACCTCCAGTACACTTTTGAGAACGTGATTCGTTCTCCGGTTTTTACATCCACTCATCTCCCTTCCCCGTCGAAGTACGGATGTGGGGGGTGTCAATAGGGATGAGGTCCCAGTATAGTTGCTGTACAGGTACATGCCATATACTTTTGGCTCAAGTGCCCAACCAGGTAAAAAGGAGCTTTAGCGCGCGAGCTTCATGTTGAATTAAGGGCTAGAACGGGGCCAGGGCACACCTTTCCATCCGTTCGCAATAACCATGATAAAATCAACTTCGCAGACTTCGTAGACCTCTCCCAAAAGGGCATGCAGCGAGGCCTTAGCTGCTGGTGCTGCGGGAGCCTGCGCCGCTGGCTACGGACCATCAGCAGGGATGCCAAGAGCACTGGTAGAGGTTCATTTGCTTGTGGACTTTTGTGGTGATAGTTCTGAAATGAACATCTCCAGTGAAAACTCCGGGCATGTGAGTTTCCCAAATGGTGGTGAAAAGAAACAACCTGTAAGTCGTGGAGGATGCTTTAACAATGCTGGTACAAGCAGTAATATCTTGATATAGTTATAAGCCCCTTCATCTAGCCGCATGTCATCTCAGCCCACTGCTTCCCCCATTTTCGAGCTCGCACATCAACACTGACACATGACTCACACCCTTTGTTCTGCTGTTCTGCTTGTATCATTGTATTTAGAGTTCTGCTGTTGTGTCACAACCTCCATTGAATTCGTCTGAATTAGTCTCTCACAGCCACAACCTCCATCGAATGGTCTTGATTGAGCCTTGTCTCATCGATGGATTTCACATGCGTTGGACATGACGGGACCCGCATGCCTCTGCACATGCGGTTTGAAGTTCTTGGTTGGTGACACCTTCTCAGGTTCTGGCCTTGATGCAAGGCCGCACTGGTGATGTCCTGGCCCAGTCTGTGGGGGCTCCCCAGCGTGTGTTTGGTGACGATTGTACTCCGAACCTGAACATGTAATTATATATAGCTTTTGGGGGGGCAGAGAAACTGCTTGGAGGCCGCTGGCGTCCACACCCTTCAAGAGGATCCAAAAAATCGCACAAGTGAGGATGTCCTAAGAACTGTGTGCTTTGGTCTCAGTGCTCTTTAGAGCAAAAAAGAGCTTTGGTCTCAGTCGCCTGTAGCTTTTGGACCTTTGGACCGGTCTGAGGCTTCGAATCAGCTCGAGCAAGATGTGGCCAAGGCGGGGGTCGAATCAGCTTCCCCATGTGGCCGACATCGAAAACGCAACGACAACACAAGATTGAATCCAGACCGACATCGGTTCTATCTTGGCTAAGAACGCAAGGCCATGCTGAGGGCTGCCGAGGAGAGCTCGGTCACGGGCGCCTTGGCCACACGAACGTTGGTGCTACCAATGCTGTTGAGCTCACCTGGTCAGGGCACGTGAGCTTATCTCTTGTAGAGATCATCGGCTGGGAGTCTGGGAGACCTCCATATTCCAAGCAAGACTTCTGTGGCCAGGGGAAATCCGAAAGTGAATCAAATCGACCTCATGATCAAGGGAGCTTGCTGATGTCCCATGTCCGGGCCACCAATGGCCTTCGAAGAGGCCAAATTCTCATTGCAAAGCCCTGCGATGCCGGGAGGCTCAGAAAGAAGCCCTGCGATGCCGGGCTGTGTGAAAGATGTTGGGCTTCTTTTTGGTTCATGGGGGTTTCCATGGGGTCCATCAATCAAGGGGGGACGAGTCAACGGATGAGCCGCAGATGCGCTGCAAGCCTCCACCCCAAACGCAGTTGCGCAGATGTTTGCGGAAGGAACAAAGCAGTTTGGTGGGCGAGCTACTCTTGATGGAAAAAGATGCTGGCACCAGCACACTTTGGGAACAAGGTCGCGAATAAAGTGACTCCATCATTTGTACTGTGGTCCAACCACTTCAGGCCTGTCATTATAGTTGGTTAAAGCGGAAATAGATGGTCAGTCTCATACGCACTAAGCCCTAAGCCCACCTTTGGGTGCGGCCTCGTTCGACTTCGCGGACCTTCGCCCAGGTGGGCGCTCACGTGATCGCGCAGAAGTCCGCGCTGGGGCCGGCGGACGAGACGTCGCGGATCTCATACTTCCAGTAGTCAGGCCTCGGCGCCGTCTGATGGCCAAGGCCGAGGGGCGGAAAACACCTGGGGGGTGGAGCGCAGTGAACAGACGATGGAACGGAACAGCATGGAACAGAACATGCTGATGCATCGATGCATCGTGTCCAGTGACGACCGTCCAACGCATGAAAGCTCGACCCCTCCATTCGATTCTCATAAACTCAGTTGCCCAAAGGAGGCAACCAGGCCTGATTGCTTTGGCTTGAGAAGTCCCCAGGAGTAGCGTGAAAGGACCAGCCCATCTTTTGCTGCCAAGCTTCAGAGCTGCAGTGCCGACCTCGTCACCGTGTCTCCGCGCACTTGGTCCAAATGGCAAAGAAAAGGCAGCAGGCTGAGAGACGTTGTGGGGAGGAAAGTTCAATCTAAATGAAACGGATTTGACCAGTTGTTGTTGGGCAGTGTGTTAGGTCCTATTTTGAAATACCGATTGCATGGTCTCCGCTGGGCAAGTCGACTCAAGAACGAAGAGCGAGACATGGAAAATGTGACGACTCAATGAACATCAACTCTTACCATTTTCTGCCAGGTCTCTGTGTTTGACAAGTGACAAGCAATACAAAGGAGTATGCAGTTTACAGTTAGTTGTGGCTGCGGAGGTGCAAAGAAGAGAGTACTTGCAGGTTCGAATCCACCAAGGGCCCATCCCCCATTGAGCTACTGACACATCCGATGCATGTGCGTCCGAACTCGGGTTGGCATAGGCGGCCTGTGAAGAAAGCATTTCAGGAGGATCATTTTGGAAAAGCAGGTTCTCGAAAAGCAATGGATGAGGTGTTTTTTCTTTTGTCCATCAACAGAAAAAAAGCAACTTGCAGTCAATCCAAGCAATCAAAAGTGCTTGAACTGAAGCTGCTCGATGGCAGGGAAAGACCGGGCGGACCGGGCTGACCTCTCCTTCGAGCGAGAGTGGAAGGACTGGAGCCTGTTTTGAAGGAGAACCAAAGTTGCCGAAAGTCCCATGTCAATTGAAAGAACAGATTTGTATATCTATATAGACACGACATGTGGTTGCAACATGGGACCCTTGGTTGAGACCGCAAGAACAGTTAAGCCACATACTAATTTAGACCATCCTGCATGTGAAGGTTGCACATTTTTGGGTCGCCTTTTCAAGGCTTGATCCCATCGCCCTCTCCGAAACAGGCCACCCTCGAGGACCAGTTGAGCACCTGCACGGCGGGGTCACCCAAAAATGAGGGTCGTTGTTTCTGCGCACCGAGGGTCTAGGCATCGCTACGAACGGAGCGATCGGATGCTACGAACGGGGCTCCTGGCATCGCTACGAACGGAGCAAGAAGCTACTAGGCTTTGAGACACGAATCTCGAGTGACGTGAAATTTCAAGTGTCCCGAGGCCAGTAGCTCTTCTGTTCTTCGAACGGGCAGTTATGATGAGGTGGAAGGGGCGGGAAGCGGGTGACTGCAGTGTCCAAGGATAAATGTGTCTTTTCCAGGATGCACAAATTGATGCACAGAACCACGGACTTTGACTCGTACCTTCTTGTACTGGAAGCATGACTGAGGTAAGCAGTACTTAAGTACTTATCAGTAGTTACAGTGATTTCAGCTAAGTGTTCTCAGAGTTGACAATCGGCTCCTGTGAATATTGACCAAAGCAGCAAGCGAGATGTAAACCCTTCGCTGGTACAGGGGACCATGAGTCCTGGCTGCCAGTCAGCCACTGCAGCACTCTTCGCCGCTGCTGGGGCCTTAGACACGTTTGGGGGCCAATAGACAAACTATGTTGGTCCAGACAAAATATCGGCTTTGCTCGATTCCTGGCTGAACACTTGCCACAGGTCGCAGCTGCGACTGGGAAGCTGCATGGTCAGCCAGAAGAGGTGTGCTGGTTCTTGGAAGGTTCAAAATAGAAAGAATGTGATCTTCTTGGCTCCTTGGCATTGTTCTTTTTGGTCGAGACCGTTCCTGTCACAGGTGGTGGTCAAAGCAGAGACCTCTGAGCATTCCCTGCTCGTGAGGGAACTACGTGAGGCCTTGGAGGCCGTCCGTTTTGGGCTCCGACGGGGCTCCGACGGGTTCGGCGCGACGTCGGCGCGACGTCGGCGTGACGTCGCAGGACATCCAGATCCGCACCGCCAAAGTGGTGAGACAGACTCGCATTGTGGCAGCGGAGTCGCGGAACTCAGTTCCGGCAGATGCATCGATCTGCCATGCAGAATCACTTTTTCTTGATACATACTTCAGTGATTCGCCCACGACATACCGTCATGACTTCGTCATGATGCTCGATGCTCGCTAGGTGTCATGCTCTTGAAGAGCGCTTGGCAGGTTGCTGTCCCAGAAAGAACCTTTGTTTCTGACCAGAAAAGGCCCACAAAGGTGTGATAAGTCGTATAGGCATATACCGGTGAGATAGGTGACATCAGCGCATGTCGAGACGGAGTTTATGCATGTTGGACGGCTGCAGCGATCGCGGTCGTAGCAGGTTTGGCAGCCGGCCAACGTCGTCGAGAGCAAGAAGCAGCAGCGGTGTGGCAGGTGGTGTCAGCATGAGAGGAACAGTGGTTTCAAAATCAGGGGCTTGCCGTCGCCAGGACCTACGAGTAGCTGTCCTTCACGCAAAAGAGGCGCGGCTGCTTCTTCATGGCGATTGATCATCCAATTTAGGGACTTCAAAGGAGCACATTTATTTTTTTCTTTCCATGCCAACGTCTTGTGAGAGAGAGAGAGAGAGTGTGTGTGAAAGCTTCATGAATGATCATTTTCACTCCAGACATGGATTTTGAACGCCATGATGATTTCTCCAGCTGCCTGGATCTTTCCAACTAGATTGGTCGCCTTTCAATACAGGTGTTGCGGCATCACCAAGTGAAGCAGGAGTGCTGCCAATGTTTGCAGTTCTGTGGTGGTGTTGCTGCAGAATTCACTGGTTACTGTCCTCAAGCAAGGAGCCCTCTCAACTTCGCGCACGGCGTGAAGAATTGCAGAAGGAGTGGTGATTCTCTGAAGCTCAACTAAAATGCGACCACCCTGAAACAGGGTAGCTCCCAGTTGACTCCACCACAAAGGTGTAAAACCCTTCTAAAGATAGATGCAGCATGATGTAGCAAGCAAAACTTCATGGGTCATCTAAACGGCTAGAGAGGGTACAAGCTGTGAACAAGCCTATCGCGGCTTCAGTTGCAGGAAGTCAAGAGGCAAGCAGTTGCAATCCAGCTTCTGAAGAAATGGAAGGATGAGGCCCATTGAAGAAGACAACAACAAACGTCTTTCGGTGTAGTCCGAGTGAGTTTGTGGTCGCCAGGATCCTTTCTGGCTTCCGCCTTTGTTGCTTTCTCCTCAAAACTATGGGCACCCTGAAGAAGAGATGAACCTTCTCCAAGCCACAGGTGTCTCCCATCCTGCGAATTCGTGGCGTCCGCGGTCGATCGTTCCCCGCTCCACGGACTCGGTGCTTCTCGTTTTCACCGGTTCCCACCGGTTCCGAGTCCGGTCCCTGCGAGGCGGAAGCCAAGTCCGTGGACCCCGCAGAACTCGCGGTGGGCCCAGTGGTGGGACCTGGTGATGTCCATCATCCGGGTGGTCCAGTGGGGTCATTCACGGCCATCGCGATAGGGGGATGGAACTTCCGAGGATCTACCAGTAGGAGCTGTTCGGGGGGATTGGAGGGACCTCGTTGGATTTGGTGGGTTGATGGCTTATGCTCGTCTCTTTTTTCCTCACCTACATCGGATCATCACGCCCATCGGCCGGTCGACCGGCGTTTCGACCGCTGAGGCAGAGGAACGGCGGAAGCGTTCGGAGGTGTGGACCACGTTCGTTGGACGCGTGGAACGTGTGGTCCTGTTGTTGGCCAGCGACAAAAATCGAACACCATATCAACCACTATTGTCGCAGCATCACGTTCGAATGGTGTTCACATATCCACTATTGTCCCACTATTGTGGAGACTCCCCTTTCTTTTTTCTGTGAATGCAAAACCGTCGTCTACCCCTCGATGATACTTGCAGGAAATCCAGCGGGAGGTGGACGAGATTCAGCGATTGCAGAGACTCCTCGGACGCCCAGACACCAGCCGACAGGCATCCAAACCATTTGCTCCAGCGAGACCGGAGGGCAGGCTTCTCACAGGTCACTGACCGGGCAGGTTATCCTGAAAAAAAATTCAACTGGTCGGCCTTTGACGTTCAACTGGTCGGCCAGAAATTGGAGACGGTGCTCCGTTGATGTCATTTGCCCAGATTCATCCAGAGTCCAGACTAAGTCGTTTTCAACTCTTTACTTCTAGACAAGTCGTCTTGTCTAAACGCTGCCTTTGAACCCAGTGGATTCTCTGGGCTTTTCTCAGCCTTTGACGACCCGAAAAGTCGCGTCGCCCAAGTTACGTCCAGCGCCCAGCGCCACGAGCGGCGCGGCGTCTGGCGGTGCAAAGTCTCACCGAAGTCGCCAATGTAACCCATTTCGTCTGCCAAGCCTTGGCGACCTTCACCTCCGCTGGATTGAATAACGGCGACCTTGTGCTAAGCCGCTAAGCTACATACTTTCCAATGTATTATGCAATTTGTGCTGGATGATTTCCTTGTTGCAGACTGGAGGTTTGGCAGGGAGGACTGGAGGGCCAATTTAATGACCAGTACCTGCCACGTCATGGTGCATCAGCTGGAAATAGTCCACTACAGTCATGATCGCTTCAGAGAACTGCAATGTGGGTCTGACAGAGGTTCTTTCTTTTCGTCTCGCCCAGTTCCAATGCATCGTTCTTGAAGCCAGGCATCGGACATAAGGGATGAATCTAGGCAAGGGCTCCGACGGGACAAGAGGACGTCTCTGCAGCTTTGGCTGCCTTTACGCTGCCAGATTGCTCAAGCCGGAGTATCGAGAGCCATCATGTCACAGAAAGCCGCAGGCTAATGTCACCTCAGCCTTTGGATGTGGTCTTTTTGTGTTCCTTCTATCTCCCTCCAGACAACTTCAGCACCATGCGTTGGAATCATGCAGCTCTCTTGCTTTGAAGCTTTATTGTCTGGAGGTTGTGAATTGTCCAAAAGATCTCAGTTGCCATCTCTAGTTGCAGTGACCCTCATATAGATAGAACTGTTATCTGAAGCACTTTTGAGTAAACTTTTGAGCATGGTTTCTAGCGACAGATGGACCACGACTTTTCACATGCGAGCAGCTTTTAACGAAGATGGATGACATCAAGCGGCCGTTGCTGCCAGATCTCTCTCCAGGACGGAGCCTTCACCAGGTCGTGTGGCTGTCTTCGTGGTATTCTCCCAGCAAGACACGGAGGGGGAGCTTGAAAAAAGGTTGGCATTCTTCCAAAACATACAAGTTTCCAAGATTCTCATCTACCAGCCCAGCCGAGAGAGCAAGCACAACCGGATTCACCCATGGATTATCACGGATTCATCCAAGCCAACCCAACCCGACCCGACTCCTCCTTCGGGACTCCTACGTTTTCTTCGCCTGAATTCGGCGATCCAACAAGTGCCAGGAAAGCTCCTGGAGCCGCCGGGAGGCATCGAGGTGTCGCGCCGGTCTTCTGTTGGACTAAGAATGAAGACACAAACGTGCCAAGCTAATCGTTGCAATTCAAGATCCTTGTAACTTGTAACCTTGTAGTTTGTACCCCTGCTCTTAACCTTCACTATCGACTACGATCCTGGGGGTCCTGCCACCCTTCTCTTGCCCGGCCCCGCCGCACCGGCCTTTCTTCGGCCCATCAGGGCGCTTGGTCCTCCGTTCGGCGCACGGCGCGCTTCGCGCGTCGCAGGATGGAGGGAGTTCTCCCATCAAGTCGCCGACCGAAGAGCGGCACGATGCAGTGCCTCAGACGCAACTCAAATGGACCTCGGTCAAAACCAGAGACCTTGGTTGACCACCAAAAGTGAACAGAATACAGGTCAACCTACGAGGCTTTGGGGCTTTTGACTCACAGCCAAATGGACCTCGACAAAATAGATGGGCCATGGATGAGCCATGGGCGGCCATGGCCCCACCGGTGGAGATGGGTGTCGTTCAACACCCAAACCTGCTGGAATGTGCGTTTGGCAACGAATTGTTGAATTTCATGGAGGCTCCATCCGAAATGGGCCCAGCCTAGATCCATAGTCATCTATTGCTTGGAAGTTCAGGTTGCCATGTGCTCTTCCTGATTCGAAGGCAGACAATTCCTTCAGAGCCCATTCCTTCGATGTCTTTTTGGTGTCTCAGGCTCTGGCTGGGATCGAACGACATGTCAAAGACTTGAACCTGCAAATGTGTCTGACTTAGTGAGTGGGATGTGATGAGAACCCGAAAGAACCCGAACAAGCCCAGACATTTCAGTCTCACTTGCAGTGCATGTTTGGTTGTTCATATTTTGGGACGTGGCTGCGTTCTATATTCGTTCTTTGCCTTCTAATTGTGTGAGTTGGTGTAGTTTGGAGTTTGGAGATCTAGGGAGTATAGCGCTGCAGTGACACATCTGAGGAACATCCTTGCAATATTTTTCTTCTCCATTGCGACCTCACTCTTATGGGCGTGGTGGTATGATCGTCTACCACCTGAAGAACAGCTGAAGGTTCCGGCTACCAGACGTTGGTCCGCGTTGCTGATTTTGGCATTCTCTTGACCTGGAGTGTTTTCAGCTTTGGATGAACTTGATGCAAGGCCTACCGAATAGCTTTGCAAGTGTCCATTCCAGTGGTGGCACTGTTTTTTACTTGGTCCGCACCTCGATGCACAGAAGCAGTGAAAGCAGAAAGCAGTGAGGCAGTTCAGATCCTTTCGGCTTTGCTGTAGGTTCCACATTTGGCTTGCTATCCAGATGATGCTGGGGGGCCTCAGAATGCTTGTGAGTTCAAGGTTAAGAGGGCAACATCTCCCTTCGCTCACTTGAAGCAGCATGCCACCGGCAACATGCCCGGATTCGGCCCAGGTTTCTTCCCTTGAAATTCTGGGGCATCTGGCAGTGAGCAAAGCTTGACTCGTTTTGAGAACCATTTAAGCCTTTAAGCAAGCATTTGAGATTGTTCCCCACATCTCTGTGTGGGGTTCTAGTTTTGTTGGCTGCCATCCCGCCCGCATCCGCCCTTCCTTCCTTCCTTCCTTCCTTCCCTCCGTCCTCCTCGCCCCCTCCTCCACTCACTCGCTCACTCACTCATTCACACACACAACACAAGATCTCACATCTCACATTACTCACTCACTCCACTCACTCACTCCACTCACTCACTCACTCACTCACTCCGTCACTCACTCACTCGCTCACTCACTCACTCACTCACAGGCGCAGTACCCAGAGCCGCCAGAAGGGGCTGCGGCGCGGGTTGTTGCCGCTGGTGCCGCTGGCTGTCTTCGTGGCAGGCGCAGTACCCAGAGCCTCCAGAAGGGGCTGCGGCGCGGGTTGTCGCCGCTGGTGCCGCTGGCTGTCTTCGTGGCAGGCGCAGTACCCAGAGCCTCCAGAAGGGGCTGCGGCGCGGGTTGTCGCCGCTGGTGCCGCTGGCTGTCTTCGTGGCAGGCGCAGTACCCAGAGCCTCCAGAAGGGGCTGCGGCGCG